GACAGTGAGGATGAATCAGAGGATGCAGAAGAGGAGGAAGATGACGATAGTGAGGTACCATCATCATTTGGGCAGTGGGGGGAGGGGCACTTTGTCCTTCCATAGCTGAGCTGAAAAAGCAGAACTTAGCCTTCTTTACAGGTGAAGGCTAAGAAGAAGAAGGTACCCCAGGTCCTGCATGCAGGACAGCAGCCAGAGCTATGGGGTCAGTTTTATTTCTGTTATGGGTGGATGTATTACATTTTGATTAGGAATGCAGTGAGGATGAGGATAGCTACAGCAGTGAGGAAGAAGAATATGATACTGAAGAAGCAGAAGAGGAAGATGATGAAGACATGATGCTCCCAGGAATGGAGGGCAAAGAAAAGGTCAGTGTTTGTGAAGAAACTGGGGAAGGAATTGGGACACAATGGTCCTTACTGAGATTTGCTGAGCTTCTTTTGCTCTTGTCCTGATTTGGGGCCCACTCTTTCAGTAAGTCTTGTGCTTCAGCATGGGCTCTCCTCACAGTTCTCTTACTCTCCAGCCTGGCTCAGACAGTGGCACAACGGCGGTAGTAGCACTTATCAGAGGCAAGCAGCTAATAGTAGCCAATGCTGGAGATTCCAGATGTGTGGTGTCTGAAGGTGGCAAAGCTGTGGATATGTCCTATGATCATAAGCCAGAAGATGAAGTGGAATTGGCCAGAATAAAGAATGCTGGTGGAAAAGTAACCATGGATGGTCGGGTAAATGGTGGCCTCAATCTCTCCAGAGCAATTGGTGAGTAAACAGGTATGCATGTACTAGAGATATAGGGCAGTATCCACTACTGACAATGAACACCAAAGTTCCCACTCAGCCTTCGAATGACCAAAACATCACACATGCAATCTTTCAGTCTGTAGCCTCTTTTTCTTTGAAAAAGGAAGCTATTTCTTCAGTCATCTGACCTGGAGCTATTGAAGTGTCTTAAGTACAAAGGAAAAGGAGTTATGTCATAACATAAAGAAAATAGAACAATCTGAAAATAGAGATTATTTTATAGTACTTCTTGTTTGCAAATCAAACCTTGCACTAATGGACTCGTCAGCAGCCAGCTTTTGAAAACTCAAAAGCAAAGGACTGAAAACTTTATTGAGTGTTCCAGCAACAACAATTTAAAATTTAGGTCCATGCTAAACTTTAAAGCTGGCTTAATTGTGGACATGCCCATTCAGAAGAATAGACTTTAAACATGGTACATATGGTTGATGCCATCTGTGACTCGGTCCAAAAAATATAGAATAATGTGTGAATGTGGACTGTAGAGTGAAGTAAGAATTTGTTTCCAACAGTGAATCCTTTGACAAAAAGTGGCTTAAATGTTGTGGATATAGTATTCTAGATCAAGGTCCCCAGCCACGGGCCACTACTAAGTCGTGGCTGGTTTGGATGTGGGCCATGCGAGCAGCAGGCCTGCGAATTTGCTCATGTAGCTCATCTCTCGTGAGCGATAGGCAACATGCCCAGTTCAACACACACAAAAGGCAGGCCAGTGCACACATGCACTGGCCCACCACTTGCACAGGCCAGTTCCTTCCCCCCCCCCCCCCGTGGGCTGCCAAGCCATAAAGGTTGGGGACTAGATTAAATGGGTCTTTTAGCCAGCCCATCCACATCTGGGGGAGTTATTTTCAGGAGGATTTATTTCAATATTTTTTTTTTGTTTTGGGGAGCATAAAGCTCAAATTCCAGAATTGCCTTGTGAATATTTGTTATTAAGCCAGTTTGACTTGATCTATCATGGAAGTGGATCCCAGCTGCTTGATTTGGAAGAAATGAAATGTGTAGCTAGCTCCTACAAACCAGAAGTTAACTAAAAAAACTGTTATGTCCAAGGTGTCTTTGTATTTGAGAAATGCCTTGAATATTCTGCCACTTACCGGGGATTTTTTCAGTTAGTGAGCATAACCCAGCTTTCTCCTTGTTGCTGCACTTTTCTGTAGGACACTGAACTCTCAAATAAATCTCTTGAACGTTTTTGTATCTTAGGAGATCATTTCTACAAACGTAACAAGAATTTGCCCCCAGAAGAACAGATGATCTCAGCGCTGCCAGATATCAAGGTGCTGACAATCAACGATGACCATGATTTTATGGTCATTGCCTGTGATGGCATCTGGTAGGTGGAAATTGAGCTTTGGGATAAATAAGAATCCTTACTATGATAGTTGACTGAAATTTAATTTCTTTCAATATACTTGGGGAGTAGAGAGTGCTGATAACTTGTACCAAGTCAAGACTTGGAAGGGACTATACTGCAAAGCTGAGGACAGATTGGTATAATTGTAACCTAGTCTTTCATTTGTTTTTCATGATCTCTCTCTTTTCCTTCTAATCCAGGAATGTCATGAGTAGCCAAGAGGTTGTGGATTTTGTTCAGTCCAAGATAACACAGAAGGGTGAAGATGGAGAGTTGCGATCTCTTTCATCTATAGTAGAAGAAGTGAGTTGGAGACTGGGAGACATGACAGTTGAAATTAAGTATAGGAATATTTCTATATTATATAGAAAAGACATTCAACTCTCAAGTTTAGCAGATTTTTTTCAAGCTACAAGATCAGAGTTCTATTTGATACAGTAAAATTGCCAGGATCTGATTGAAAGCAGCTGAGAAGGACTAGATCTTGGAATGCACCAGGCATGCACTCAGTTTACTGACTGGGTCCCAATTGATTAAGCCTAGGGAACGGTCACTATTTTGATAACAAATTATCTTCAGGAACTGAAAAACGTTACAGGATAATCATTAGGTTCATAGTCTACTTCTATTAAATCTTGTTTGGTTTTTACAAAGATTCCTTCCTGAAGGTTTATTTACAGACTGCCTGGCAGGTATCTGAAACCATCAGACTATTGCCTGAATTTCTCTGTCCTTCAGTTTAATGAATGTATTCCAGAAGATGAATTTCATGCTGAATTCATTCTCTAATTTTTGTCTAAACAGCTCCTGGATCGTTGTTTGGCTCCTGACACATCTGGTGATGGAACAGGCTGTGACAACATGACTTGTATCATCATCTCTTTTAAACCACAAATCAGTCAAGGCTCCCCTGCTGAGAGCAGCAAACGGAAACTGGAGGATAGCACAACAACTAGCCCCACAGAAGAGGGCTGTAGCAAGAAGGCCCGACAGGACTAGCAGCCAAATTGGGTAGGGAATTGCCCATGCTCTCACTGGACTCTTGTTTTCTAAACAAAGCTGAACTTTTGATGCCTGTTTTAGGCTTTTTTTATCCTTAGGGAGGCCCATTTTGTCTTTATTATTTGAAGGGGGGGAAGGGATTCAGGTGGGTCCCACTTTGAAACCATTCCAAAGAGTGAATGGCAGGGAGGGTCATAATCTGGCCAAAGCCCAGAAGGCAGACCTGCTCAAACACTCTCAGTCTCTCTCTCTCTCTCTCTCTCTCTCTCTCTCCCTCCCTCCCTCCCTCCCTCCCTCCCTCCCTCTCTCTTACCTGCTCAAACACTCACTCTCACTCTCTCTCTCTCTCTCACACACACACACACAGAGACCACTGCAGCATCTCTGTATGGTTGTTGCTATTTCCATGCCTGTGATTTTTCTGTTGGCGGGAAGCAGTTTTCCAATGTGGAGTTTTCAGAGCTGCACTTCTATTTAAGGCCTCCACTTTTTTTTAAATGTGTGGGACTGATTGCCATACTCCCCACCCCATCCCATGGCTGCCAAGCCTCAATTCTGTGTCATTCATTTTCAACTGAGATTTTTTTCAAACTAAAAACTAAAACTCTTTATCAGTGACTGTGTACTTTTGTAAAATTGTGAGGGGAGGAAGTAAGATGAACTGAACCATTATGTAATTCACTTACTTTTCTTGCTTATTCCAATTTCTTTACAATTCCAAATTCTTTCCCACTGTGAGTCTGCCCAAGCAAACTAGAACCAACAACCCCTTGTCTTGTCCATGGAAACTTTTATCTAAACCCTTATGATTTCCCCAGGAAGCTTACAAAAGACAGACAACCCCAATTCTTGCTTCTTCTTTTTTGTTGGAAAAGTAGGGTTCCTTTCTTTGAATATAGGGGAACCTAAATTTAGCCACATGGTTTTTATTAAGACTTGAATGTAACTCTGTAGGCCATGAAATATAGCATCCTTATTTTACAGTCATAAATTTCAATTTGAACTTGAAAAAAAGTGGGAATTGGAAGCCTTTGAGAGACAAAGCTCTGTCTTCCATTACCACTCTTAAAACTCCCCAAACCTAAAAACAAGTTGGGCACACTTATTTAAGCCTTCCCCAAATGAGCCAAAATTGTGGTTGTCACTGGAATACTTCTTCCAGCAGGTAGCAGTGTAATCCACCAGCCCATTGCAAGCTATTTGCCCTTTTTTATTACAGCCTTTTCCAATTTTGTTGCATCTATTGTTCCTACACCATTGATTTGTATAAGGCTAACCCAAAGTTGATTTTCAATCTATTTTGCCTCATTCCTATGGAATATAGGATCATAATACTACGGGACATTGTGAAATTCCTTCTTGGTTTCAACATTGAGGTGAAAATTTAAGTAATTTTAATTACCTGCTACTTTATATGGAATTATAGCTATTCCATTAGATTTCTGAATAATTTCTTAAGCGATCACTCAGATAAAAGTAGCATGTTTAAGGTTTCAGGAATTTCATAGGAGCTTATTCTATAATAATGGCTTCAACATCTCATGGCTTTGTTTTCGCAGCAAGTCTCCTGTGGGACTTGTTATAAAGCAATCCACAATGTAGTCCAGAATCTCTCAGAAGTTCTAACCTGGCTTCACATGCCCCCTTTTTCCTCCTACCAATACAAACTTTCTTTGTTTCTCTGAAATTGGCATTAGGCTTTTACTTGAGGATTTTCCAGTCCAAGCCTCAATCTTTATCCAGAAGATTAACGTATGTAGCTATCTTATCAGAACTGGAATTCTGGCCTATTTAGATCAGCGCTTTCACTTCGACAAGTACTCTGCTCAAAGTAGTTACTTAAAATCATTTAATCAGAGGTAGGAAATCTACGATTCAGGAGATGCAATCAATATGGCCAATTATGAGTGATGCTTGAAGTTGTAATTCAACATCTGGAAGATGACAGGTTTCCCAAGCCTCCTTTAATGGGAATCTGGCCTCACAGTTAGTCTCTCAGAGATTGTTCAGCAGTTTAGCCCCATCTGACAAGACTTCTTCCCACCACCTAAGTAGGTAACGCATGGGATTCCGTCCCTACATATTATAAAGGGAGGATCCATTAGACTCCTGTGATAGCTGCTATTTATTATCCTGAAGCACCAGAGGTCTTAATCAAGTGGGGGCTAAAAGATGCCAAGTGTTTGGGTAACAAGTGAGCAGTGACGAATCTTGCATGGGCTGCAGACAGCTTTCAAGCTAGGAGAGCTTGGATCTTCAGTCCATGGTTGCTTCTGTGTGTTAAGTTGCTTTACTCTGTCATCACTCCTGCCAAACTGCAGCCATCACTTGTGTAGGCGAGAGAATCTGCTGAAAAGCTGTGGCCTGATGCAACACTACATAGACTGTGCTCACCAGCAGCCTGTGGCTGAGTTTCAATCTCCACTTCCACTTCCACCATATTCAGGCCATCCCTGCACAGGAGAAGAACAGTGCTACTTGTGAACTGGGTGGAATATGGCACAGAAAAACAGGGTAGAAAGCTATAATTCACAATATTGCACTATAAAGCAAACTGGGAAGAAGAGTATGTTTTTGTGTTTCTTCCCTCTGCGCTACTGTATTTTTCGCATAACCGAAAACAGAATGAGGATGTCTGCCATGAGTGAGAAACTGGAGGTAGCAGTGAGATGGAACCTCTCCCAAACTGGACTTGGAACAGCCCAATAAAGCAGATCTGAGGCCAACACTATTTGTTCAATAGGGCTTCCTTCCCTGCTCTTCCATTCCATCCCATCCAGAGATTACTTATAGGAAGTAGCTTTGCTTGGGACTTCCTTCAATCCTTCCAAGTCCACCATACTGACCTGTGAGAAGTTTCTTGAGCTTCACTCAGCATGCTGCCTGCCAAAGCTACAGTGCTAGCAGATTCACTGTTCCGATCTTTTTGGCATGGTTCCTGCTGGCTGTTACTTGAATGGGGGATGGAGGCAGAAGCCCCCTTCTCAGGCACCATGGGGGTAGGCAGCACAGCCAGCAGTTCGTTCACTGTTACGAAGAAAGAAAAGATAAACATGGCAGCATCCCCTTTCTAGGCATCACAAAATTTCTTCACATATCTAGATAACCTCTGCAAGGTTTCCTTAATGGAAATGTTGATCGCACGAAACCTAATAGAATAAAACTGTCTGCAAGTACGGAAATTGAGCAAAATTTTCAAATGGTACTAAAACAAAAAAGAGGAACAAAAGGGTTTATTGTCACACAGTTTTTAAAAAGCTCATAAATTCTGCATATTAAATGTCAGTTTTAGAAGCTGCTCAGTCGTGGTATTTCCCATCTTTTTATTACTCATATCTTTTAGCAATTGTAGACAATATGAGATACCAGTATCTACTAGATGTTACACAAAAGGAGCTATCCAAAAGTTAGGGGAATTCCTGAAACATTTCTTGATTATTTAAAATAATTAAAAGAATCACTTCTGAGTTTTCTGAGCCAATTAGTAAAAAATGGCATTTGAAGAATCCTTGCTGTATAATCAAATGGATCAGTTAAACTAGTTTTTACCCAAAGCCTTCTTTGCAGTCAACGTTAGTGCATCTCCAAATTACTGGCAAAGTTTTCTATGCATGTTTGTTGGGAGAGCTGTCAAGACTGGAAACAGACAAGGACTGCAACTCAATGGGAATTGTAACGGTACAGCATTTCTAAAATAGTACCGAAAAGTACCAGCTGTATAAAAAACATAGGCAAATATTGTCAAAGAATTGAGAGCTTGGTGTCTTTACATTCATTGATAATTAATTTTGTAGGAACAGACTACCTGAAGCCCAGATAGGAAGCTGTAACATAACTCATCAAACTGACATGACACTGTTCTTCCATAAACAAAACTAAACGGGATGTTCCATTACCAGAATGGCTGCAAAACTAAGGTATAGTTCCAATGTAATACTATTGGAACTTAAATATAATCGCAAGCCATGCAGGTTCAAAAATAATGGACTGCTGTGTCTGCCATTGTAGACTCTTCTGTCACACTTTAAAGTGAGACATCAACTTTCTAATAGCAAAATTAGAATAAGTTATGGAAGGAGGCTTAAAGGGCAAAGCAAGAATATATTAAATGAGAGCAACTTGTGATGTGTCCCAAAACTAAACATCTTTGCCTCTCTGACTTCAGCACAACTCACAACAACTCACGTACATTTGGCGAGGTTCTCCAGTTCCACTGTGCTGAGCTCCCCAGCTTTCTTTCGGGAGCTTCCATACCCCCAGCGATTCCGGCATAGAGAGAGTACCACGACCCCATACACGTAGGTGAGCATCAGGGGCACGCCCACCCCTGCAGGCAAAGAGCCTATTATAAGAACCACCTCTGTTCAAGGACCGTTCATGCAGCCATGCAATTCACGAAGGGCAGAAGATTTCCCTTTCAGTACAAAAGCAAAAAAGCATCTTGTGGATCCACATACACCCTCCCATCTCGGTGTCATTGTGGCTCTTACCAACAGTGACGGCTGTGATGACAGGGGACACAAAGAGAGAGAGGAGAATGCTGCTGGCAACAGAAAGACACTGCTGGCAGCCTGACAGCTTGCTCTTACGCCCATGGCTCAAAACCTGGAGGAAAAGGAAAGAATGATAAAGAGATCCCCAGAAAAAACTACTTTGGCCTGAACTGCATTTCCCATGAGCCTATAAGAACATCCTGTGCACATTTTATGGGCCTCTGTGATTATGAAATGGTATGGCCTCCAAGCATGTCTCCTTACCTTCTTCCCTGTGTAAATGGGTATGCCCAAGGTGATGACTGGCACTGCAATGCCAGCAACAAGTGAAATCACCATTGGGGCACCCAACACCATGCCCAGCTGCCATAGGAGCTTCCGGGTTCGAGACCACGGCTTCTTTCCCCAAAAGGTGCAGCCAGAAGGACTGAGGGGAAAACAGGAATCAGTTATGAGCACAGGGACATTCAAAAGTACAATACAAACTGTAGATGCCCTTAAATTTTCTTGTTAGTTAGCACAGGGTTTGCTGCCATCCATTTCCAAAGCAGTTTTTGCAGCGTCAAAAATGAAGAAGTTGGATTGGGCTGTTGCTGAAACCAAAGTCCCTTTCCCAGAACTGCACGCTCACAGAAACAGGTCTTGGTGAAGTCCACCACTGTTGCTCCCTAACTTCTATTGGACTTGATGTAGACCAGTCTCTTTGCATTCAATATATACAAGATGCGGATCTCACTCATCTAGAGAAAAGCATAAAGCTTTCAGAAATTCCAGGCTTTCTGAAATTCTTAGTTCATAAAATATTCTTAACCTGCTACCAGTAGCTTTTATTTATTTGTCCTCAGAATTCTATTAAAGTTGTTACCCACTTGACTGTTTTCGATATACTCAAATTTGTTGTAAATGTCTATATGTCACTATGCGATTTTCTATGGTAGAATATTGATAGATAAGTTTAATTTATGGGCATAAACATAACTTTATATTAATTTTATTAAAATCATAAGATGGAAAGATTAAAAATAAGAATATTTAGAAGAAAAAGAGAAGAAAAAGTAAGCAAATAAGACAAGAACTAAGCCAAAAATACAGGAAAAAAATAAGTGTAAAAAAATGACTTCCAATTTTCTTTTACAGCAGTTATAAGTACAGATGTAAATTAACCTCTTACTCTATGGTTATATTATTTATAAACAATTTTTAAATGGTATGTCTGTAGAAATAAATGATGCCCTGGATTCTAAGTCATCATAAAACATTATTTGCCTTCAATAGCTCATTGTATCAATGATGCCGATATAAGTATACAACTTAATTTAGTGTGTTTTACTCCCCCCCCCCCGGGTGTAGATATGGGATTGCAATCTCATCTAATCCATACTATCCAAAGTGCTTCTTTGAGCACCTATATAGCTTATTTCCATCTCTACCAAGCCCTTGATCTGCAACTCCATTCCCTGAAGGTCCTGATGGATAGGATAGAAGAGAAGCCTGGAATGGCCAGGCCCACTCCCATTTCCCTCTCCACATGCAACACCTGAGGAAATGCACATCCGTGATTTCTTGCATGCAGAGCCAGCAGAAAAGGCAGCCACAGACAGTGCAGTTCATACGGTTACAGCTCCCATCGTTGATTTTCATGATGAAGGCACCACAGCGGGGACAGACCTTGATGGTGTCAGGGTCTATGGAAAGCAGAAAGAAGAAAATGGGGCTTAAACCAATGCAGCTGATCAGGCTCCAACAGGTGTACTTAGGGCCAGAGATATGAGGGCACTGGCAGAAAAGATACAGGTAAGGAGGAAACCCGGTGCTAGGAGAAGGCAAAGAGGCACCATTGCCTCAACTCACTGTGGGCTGCTTCCTCTTTCCAGATCAATTGTGTGGAGAGTTCCACAGCTCCCAAAGGGCTCTGCTGCTTCCACTCCCGCCAGGTCTGCTCACAGGAGGAATTGGGATGCCAGGGCTGCCGGCAATGGTAGCAAAATTCTGTCTTGCAATCCTGACGACCACAAACAAGCCGGGGGCATTCAGCACAGCCATATGCAATTACAGCATAACTGAAGGAAGCAAAAAAAAGCAGGGACATCAGCCCGGGAACTTGATACCACTCACAGAATTCACTCTCCTATAACTCAAGCTTTATTTTTATTTATATTTATATGTGACCTTTCATTCATCAGCTGAAGGCAACATACAGAGTGATTCTCCTTCCATTTTCCCCACAACCACCATCTTGAGAGCTAGGTTGGATTGAGAAAGAAAGTGATTTATCTAGTAAGTTTCCAAGACTAAGGATGGACTGGAACCAGGATTTCCCTGGTGCCAATCCAATACATTAATCATTATACCATACTGATTCTTTAAACGTTGACATTTGCTCTTTTATTATTTACTAATTTACAAGGCTACCCTTCTTGCCCAAGTGACTCTTGTGAATTTAAGGATTGAAACAAATAGTGCAAATCTAAACAAATAGGAAATGGCAGCTGAAAATAAAAATCTCAGAGTAATAACAAACCACCTGGGTTTTGCTAACTTCCTGATCTCCCATGCCAGGCAAACAGACAGGTCTTAAAACACTTTCCAAAAGGCCAGCAGGTTGGGACCAAATATATCTCATGGTAAAGGGGTTCCAAATAGCAAAAAAAAACCATGACTGAAAAGGTAGTATTTCCTGGGTCTCACAAGATGGCAATCTTTTAAGTCTGGGGTCCTGTAACATGTTTCTCCTGCCAGATCTAATATAGGTAGTCCTCAGTTAATGAGAATAATGAGGACTAGAATTTCTGTTGCTTATTGACACAGTCATAAAGTGTGATATCCTATGACTGCACCACTTAGCAACAGCTGTTCTGGCAATCCCAGTTGCTGTTGGTATGCAAGGACCATCCAGGTTGTTAAGGGAGGACCACACATGGCTGACTTTGCAAGTGGGAAACTGGCAGGAAATGTATCAAATCAAAGTTACTGTGGGACTCTGTGACAACTACAGATTGGTCACCAAGTGCTTGAATAACAATCCTGAATAACTGCAAGGGCACTGCTTCCCCTCTGCTGCTGTGTCAGCCCTTCCAGGTAAACCAGACAGGAAATACAACGAGATGAGCTAATTCTGCTTTATTATACTGCTACATTAACAGAACCTTGTAAGTCTGAAGGTACAAATTTCCCGTTGTCACTTTTAGCCATTGGATCAACTACTGTGTATCCTTCCTAAATGTCTTCCTTTGAGTGTTAAGCTACTCAGGGCTCCTGTGTCTTGTCTGGTTGTTTCCTAAGCAGCATCTCTTTCCCTCATTCCGCAAGGCCGTTCCCACACACCCTCACACCATTTACATGCTAAGTATAAATACCAGACTGGTGGCGAGGACCAGTTGTTCAGCACCCTTGTAAGTTCATTCAGTTGCTGAATGACTGGTAGTTACACAAGGACCACCTGTAGAGTAGTAATAACAACTGGAAAAAGTAGTCCTCCAATTATCCTGGCCACTGCTATAAAATGCTCTATAAGTAACAACCAGCATTTTGAATTGCACCTGGAAGCCTATTAGGAACTAGCACCGCTCACTTTCCCATTCAATCCACTTCTCACAACTTAAAACTTTTATTTTTAGAATTAAGCGTTTCATGGTGGCAGCTACAGTCTTACCCCCACCTCTATGTAGCATTTCTTATGTATTCCACTCTCCAGAGCACCATATCTCTATCAGCTGAGGGACAGATGAATGTTAGATGGCTGGAAATCACCAGAAAGAAATTATCTGCAATAGCGAGCATGTTCTGTAAATACTACTTTTTGTGGCATCAGTGGCATTTGCTTCTCTCTGTAGTGGTTCATTTAGCTTCAGCATTCCCAGTTTTTAATCAAGCTTTTCTATCCTATAACTTTAGGGTAGGGGCTGACAAAGCAAATTTATCAATACAGCCTCAAGACATGTTCTCCCCAAAATCTAAATAAGCAAGGTTGCAAGGAAGTTTTTTTTTAATCTTTAAAACACTTGCAGATTGGCAACAAAACTGTTCAGTTAAATGCCTAACCAGCTATCTGCATCAAATCAAATGCACTCAGTGCCTAACAGTGCAGTATGTGCACTTGCAACTGTGTCTTCAGAAAGAAGAAGCCTCCTTGACACAACCTAACCTGGTGAGATGTGAAGGAGAAGAGTGAAGCCAGGAGAATGGCAGGGGAGAAAGAAAAAAAATCAGATCTCAGGAAAACATGTTTGCTGGATAAAGTATGAGTGGCATCTATGGAATAAGCAAGTATATGCAGGGGTTCTCAACCTTGGCAACTTTAAGACTTGTGGACTTAGCTGGCTGAGGAATTCTGGGACTTGAAGTCCACAAGTCTTAAAGTTGCCAAGGTTGGGAACCCCTGATTAGTACAGGGTCTCTTTGGGCATAACTACTCTCATTTAACTGGAATCTTCAACTTCAGATTCCCACTGAAATTTTCACTTAAATCTACCATGTAGAAAAAGTCACTTTATTTAGAATTGAACCTCTAATTCAGTCTTATACTAATAGGCCGATTTATTAAAAAAAATTTCCAAATCAAGAAGTCAAGTCACTGTGCTCTAACACCAATGTTTTGAAATTGGAATCATCTGCAGGTGAAGCAACGCTGTCCTTCAACGAGCTCTGGAGCTCTGCATCAGTCCCACCACCACTCAGGATGCCAAATAAACCCAGATCTGTCTGCCAACTGGAAAGGAAAACTCTGAAACTAGTTTTGTAACTCCAGTTGACACAGAAATTGAATAAATGAACTAATGGAGAAAAGAGATACACAGAAATCAACAAAGGCTGCCCAATCTCAACCATCTTGCCAGTATATTAACTCCACTGCCTCTTTTCTCCAGCAAATTTTTTACTCTTTCCTGCAACTCGATTTCAGTTTAATGCAAAACCTCTTCTCCCTCTCTGGCTGTATGCACTCAACATATTTAGGCACTATGGGTGGATTAACCAGGGGGTGCACATATAAAGTTGACAATAAACAGAACCAAATACTGTAAGCCAACACACTAGGAACATATACATTCACACAACCCGCTAAGTTTGATAAAGTTAAAATGTGGTTAAATATTTCAAGTTTTATGTTTGTTTTTGGTGACTTAGCCTGATGTACGATGTCGGTTCACGCTTTAACCCAGGAAACAGATTAATTTGGTAAGAAGATTGGGCATGCTTTTTGAATGCAGCCTCTAAGCACTTGAGAGCACCACTGTTCCTTAACGGAGCTCAATCTTGAAGCATTTCACTAGTAGATCAGATTTCTGCACCTGCTCAATGTTTCCCTCCTGCCCTGCTAAGGCCACTGAGCCAGCTTGCACCCCACCTGCAATCAGGGGCCGGGCACCAGCGCGTGCCAGGGTCCGCAACTAACAGGCGCCTCAGCAAGTACTCTTCGTATTTGTCGCGCAGGCCGGCCTCAGGCAGCAGCTGATGGATCTCGGCCGGTTGTAACAGAGCCGGACAGTGCGGACAGGCCAGCTGGACGCGGCTTTCGCTGATCTCAATGCGCAAATACTGCTGCAAACAAGTGAGGCAAGATAGGTGGGCACAGGAGGAAAGCGCAGGGAAGGCCGCCGCGGGCTGGGCCAGCAGACAGAGCGGGCACTCTACAAGGTCCTCCTTTTCTTTCTCCTCTGGAAGCATTAAGGCGACTCGGGCCTCCTCGGCGCGATCTAAGGAGGGCCCCTCCGGCTCCCCGAGTGGTTCCGACATCGTTTGGGGTTTTCGTCCAAAGAGGTTCATGACGCCGAGAGAGGAAGGGCCCACCCTGGGTCGCTTCATCTGGGATGCTCTGGGACGAGTCGGGCGAGGCGTTCAGCCCATCGCACTGCTCAACCCGCAGAAAGGCCGGAGAACTGGCGGCCGAAAGGCTCCTCCTCCATCTCCAGATTCAGTCCCCGATCCGCCGCTGTCTCCTCTTCTCAGCTGCGCTTCGCCATCGGCTGCCTCCGGCTCTGCGACGCCTCTAATTCCCTTCCAGGAGGGTAGGAGAGAAGCCAGCAGGGGCGCAAAGGGAGGGGCGCTTTCCCCGGGGTTGGATAAACACGCCGCAAATTGCGGCGCGCGGGAGTCTTGCGGGACTGTTGCGGAGCCCGTGCGCTCACCCCAAGGATAACTAGCTGGCCACCCGGCCAGTGTGTCCTTGGAACGGCCAGCAAAAGGCGGAGTTTGCGCCTGATTTGCTTGTGCTCCGCGGTATCGCCACCTCTTGGCTCTCGCTTTAGCGCACTCGCCGTCGCTCGGCAGCCTGGGAAATGTAGTCCCCCAGGAAGACGGAGCGAAACAAAGAGAAAGTCTCACGATTCCTGCTCGTTCTTGAAACTTTTTCTCTTCGACCCCTTTGTGCGAAAAATGAATCGTCACCCGGAGAAGAAAACAGAAGCAGCACATCAACGTTGTACAGAGACTCAAGATTCAGAAGGACCTTGACAGATTGGAACACTGGGCTCTATCCAGTTAAGGTCCTACAACTACACAAGAAAAACCAAACGCAAAGGTATAGAATAGGTGGGACCTGGCTCAACAGTAGCAATTGTGAGAGAGATCTAGATGTCCTAACCCAGGGTGAGCCAGCTATGCTGGCTCAGGAATTCTGGGAGTTGAAGTCCACGAGTCATAAAAGAGCCAAGGTTGCCTACCCCTGTCCCAACCTAATAGATCACCACTGAAGCATGACCGAGCAGTGTGCTGCAGCTGCCCCAAAACTAATGTCCTAGGTCAGTGATGGCGAACCTTTTAGAGACCGAGTGTCCAAACTGCAGCCCAAAACCCACTTATGTATCCTCAGGTGCCGGGTGGGCATGACCCATTGAGTGGGTGTGGCCCTTGGGTGGGTGTGGCCAATTGGGTGGGCATGGCCCGTTGGGTGGGCCTGGCTGAGGTGGTAACGGTAGACTGGGTGGGACTAAAAAGTTCAATCAATCAATTCCAACTTTGCTAGATCTTTTTTTTCCAAGAAGTTGAAATTGATTGATTGATTGAACCTTTTTTTTTTTTTTGCACACAGCGGTGGAGGCCTAAAGCGAAAAGGTTTTATAAAACCCAGCTGAAGATCTAGGACTGGAGTGACAATGTGCGTGCTCACAGAGAGGGCTCTGCATGCCACCTATGGTACACATGCCATAGGTTTGTGATCACGGTCCTAGGTTGCAACAACAGGGATAGTTTCAAGATCACATTGTACTGCTTTATGCTGCACTCATGAGACCATATTTGGAATACAGCATACAATTCTGCTCATCATGATACAAAAAAACATATTGAGACTCTAGAAAAAATGCAGAGAACAGCAACAAAGATGATAAGTGATTTGGAGACTAAACCATACAATGAAAAATTAAGAGAACTAGGTATGTCTAGTCTAACAAAGAATAGGACTAGGGGTGATATGATAGCAATCTTCAAGTATTTATCAGGCTTTCACAGAGAAGAAGGGATTGACCTATTTTCCAAAGTACCTGAAGGCAGGATAAGTATTGGGTAGAAGATCATTAAAAAGAGATCTAACCTAGAACTAAGGAGAAATTTCCTGACTGTGAGAACAGTTAATCAATGGAATGAATAATCTCCAGAAGTTGTGAGCTCCCTTACTGGAGGTTTTAAAGAAAAGGCTGGACAGCTATTTGTCTGGAATAGTATAGGGTCTCTTGCTTCAGCAGGGGGTTGGACTAGAGAATCTCCAAGGTCCCTCCCTACCCTATTATTCTATGTTCTAAGAGTCTTCCCTGTTAATGAATATAGCCTCTCCTCTATGTCACCTCAGGAGATTTTTCAGTTATGGAACGAAAAACACGTGCTACCTTTTATATGACTGTAGCTGACTTCCCATAACATGTTAAAGTAATGTTTCTATTTTGGCAATTTTAATATACGTGGACTTCAGCTCTGGGTGTTGAGTCTACACATCTTAAAAGTTGCCAGGGTAAGTTGAGAAAGACTGTGCTAAAGCTTCAAACTGGATGAACAAACCATTGTTTTCTTCACAAATCATTCAGTGCCCAAATTAATGAACCAGATTGTGGCTTAAAAGGATAGCAAAGTTCCCACTGCATGCTAAAGTTATGGTTAAGTACTTACTACATGCTAAACATATTGTTTTCTATAGGCAAGAAATACTACTTTGGAGGGTATAGAGCAGGCAACTTATGTCCTTCAGAAGTTTTGATCTTCAAGAGCTGTTAGTCCTCTTAGTGTGGCCAATGGCATAGGGCTGTGTATATTGTAGTCTAAAACATATCAAGCACCAAGTTGCCTCTTCTGGGATAGATTAAATACTGGATTCAAATTGTCAGTAACTATCTTCAGAAGGCAAACATATTGTCTACATTGTCATCATAATTATATAATTTTACTAACTACATCTTGTCTAGTTTGTACAACATGCTAGCCTAGGTTAAATGGGCTTTGGCAATTTAGGGTTCAGTAAATTATAGAAACTTAGCCATTATTTAAATATGTTATGTGGATCAGGCCATAACATTACACAATAATAGGGTTTATTTACCTAGGATTAGCATGCTACTATAACACTTAAACAACTATGTTTTGTTAAACTAAGTTTAGCATTTAGTGTGTTGAGCAAATCCAACTGTTGAATTGGTTTGCTGCTTACAAGACAGACTAGCATCTAAACATTGTGTCTCTTATTTTAGTTTTAACTGTAGACAAACAGAAAACAATTTAAGAAGGAATAAATCCAACAGGAATGTGAAGACCCTTCCTGTATCAGGCATGCAACTATGTGCTCATTGGACAAAGATTATAAGTGCTGATGGCATTGAGATCTGTATTCTCAGAGAAGTCAAGGGAGCTGAACTTGAAACACTGAAAAATCAAAAACTCAGGAGGAGAATTCCATCATGGCAGCATCCCTTCCTGGGATGAGAATTCCTCTTAATGAGAAGAAAGATTCATTCAAAAGAAGGAAGAAATTATCCCTCCAAATGTGGCTCCTTCTGTGGGATAATTGGCATTCTTTTACTTCCAACAGGTCTAATTTCCAGGACTTTGAACAATGTTATCATTGTTGAAACTGCTGGTTTTCTGACAAATGTGAAAACAGCATGGTGAATTAATGGTCTAATATTCTTAGCATGCTGGGGGATTCTGGGGGTTGAACTCCACACATTTTAAAATTGCTGAGGTCGAAAAATAATGGCCCAGTACAAAGGTTACAGATACTCCCTGTTAGCAGATAGTGTTGGAATGGAAAAGAAAACATGGACATAAAATTCTGGAATTTAAGTTGCTAGTGAATATGCTGAAAGCCAGAAGCTCCCAACTTTATTTCTGCAAATCCAAGGGGCTTCAATGTGTGATAAAGTTAGTGCATGAATAAATGTGTTTGTTATTCCAGTGCTAAAAATGTTAAATATTGTCAACATTGATTCTAAAGATTACTTTTCTATTCCTGATATGCCAGATTCATTGATAAGCCACTTGGAAGAAACTTACAAGAAGATATGTGGAAAGACCCCATGTGGAGACCTAGACTTGGATGTTAGTCTTCAGCCTTGTGTCTAAAATGATTGTACATATAATCCAATTCTTATGCAGCAGTTCTCAGCCTTTTGCTTATATGACCACAACATCATAATTAAAACCTTTGGAGAACCACCAGCTAGAGTTGGCACTTGCATAGAGTTTAGCCTATGTTGTGCCTTCATCTGGCATCCTGACTTCCCCTAAACTCTGCTGAAAATGTTACCTAGCCTGGTAACGAAACTTTCAGAAACCAAACTATGAGTATAAAAACATATGGCATTAAAGCCTCTCAATTCTAATAGGCAAAAGAAGACCTCACATTTCATTATAGTCCCTATCTCTATCCAGAGAAAGCTTATTAAATTCAGTAAGTGCAACTGTCTTTTCTCAATTATTGCTACAACTGTTTTGATTTGATTTGATTTTGCTCTTCTGTCCTGGCAGCTGTGAATATCTAACATTTAGATTTTTTATGTTTTAGGTTTTCCTATGATTAACCCTTAGAGATGTTTTATTGTCATCTTTTATTCATTGGTAAGAGTTTCTGGGAGTCAGGTGGCCTATAAATCACTACTGCCATCATCATCATCATCTATAAAAGTTAGTGGTTATTTAAGCTTGCTTTTTCCACTAAAGGCATGTGTAGGAGAAACTCAGTGGAAACACAAGCAGGAAAATCTTGTGGGAGGGAGTTTCAATTCAAGGGCTGAAATGCAAGGAGGAAACCTGTGGGAGTCACAGTACTTAATTATCTTCACTAGAAGACATTGTAGGAGGACAGCCACGTTAGTAGTGGCAAAAAAATCAGCAATAATCTGATAAAACCTTTTCTAAGCAATGTAATTAAAAACTCTAAGCATTGTTAATGAATAAACATAACAGAGAATGTTTGGCAATAATGGGTGCCTACCCAAAAGGCACAGAATCTATCTGGTCAGAACAGATCCAGACTGACCAAACTATTATCTCTTACCCTTTTGAGGTCGCCCAGAGAAGAGGCACAACCATGCATATTAGTTCTATCTTTATTGCAAGGTTTCATTAACACAATCTTGCAAATCTGAAAGTATTCTTCCCCTTCTTTCCTTTTACTCTTTGGAAAATTAGGGAAGGTTCCTTGTGAAACATCTCACATACATCTTCCTCTTCTGTGGACTGAGATACCCTTTTGCATGATGAATGTTTGTGGCTCTTCCTCCTGTTTTCCAAGGTCATTCCCACATACCATTACATGATCAAAAAGGTTGTGAAACAATTTTTATATCACAGGGGGCAGGAAGGAATAAGAAGAGCAGGGAATATCCAGTCAGAAATAAACATCTCCAGATAAAATGTGATCAAGTAACAGGCATATCCTATTGTCCTTTTGATCAATATTCTCTTGATGTCAGCCCTCCAAGATAGCCCAAACTTGGAAACAGAAGATATTCAAGCTAATACAGTATTGTTATTATCATAAAGTTATACAGGTAGTTCTCGACTTACGACCACAACTGAGCCCAAAATTTCTGTTGCTAAGCAAGACAGTTGTTAAATGAATTTTGCTCCCTTTTACAACCGTTCTTGCAACAGTTGTTAAGTGAATCACTGCAGTTGTAACATGGCAATGAATCTAGCTTCCCTATTGGCTTTGCTTGTCAAACAGTCGAAAAAGGGGATCACATGATCCCAGGACACTGCAACCATCATAAACATGAGTCATTTGCCAAGCATC